CACTCGCGCCCTCCTCAGCTGACGACAGACAGCGCCAGTGACGTCTCCTGCTTTCCACTGCTGCCAGGGGCACGTCATTCACGCTGCACGCGTCTCCGATCGGTAGGCTGCACGCGTCTCCGATCGGTAGGCTACAAACTTAATATGTGATGGAGAAGGTACCAAATACAACGAAAATAACCTGACTCTGTCCCTAAAACGGGTCATCTTTCGGAGTCAGATTTGCTGCACACAAATGCATGATTTAGTACGGTTAATTCAGGAATTCTGACGGGGTGAGGATTTTATGCTGATAAATAGGAAGGGATGTTGTGTCAAACTAACAAATTGACTTTTAAAATATTCATGTATGGAAGTGCTACTAGAACAGTTAAGATGCCAGAGCCATATCGCTCGCCAAGTTTCACTTGACACATACTGATTTATTTTTCTAGCAATAATACGGTGTGCTATAAACAGGTACTTGGTTGGAGGGTTTGTTTGTTTTTAATCGTAAACCTGACCGTCTTACTGAATTCCAGGTTTTCTGGTGAGCAGCCTTAAGTAAATTGAGGCCAAAATTCTAGTTAACCTGAAGCTTCCCTCTATAACCTTGGTGAGTGCATGAACATGTGGTAGACTAGGTATGGCGAAGGTAACAGTTTGTTTGGAGTAAAACCAACGGAGTTTGTGATTTCAAAGTCAGCAGCAACAACTTGTAGAAAAGACCAAGTCTGACTTTTCATGCCTTTTGGAAAGAGCTTGAATGCCCTTTGACTCTACCTTCAAGTGCAGTGTTTGCTATGTAAATCCTCATCATATAAGTCTTGTTATATCCACGTTGAATGAGGCAGGGATCCTGTGAAGAGGGGAAATTATTGGACACTGTATGTGTACAGGAAATTAATTTGTGTATCAGAAAATTTACAGATTTTTATTTATTTACTTTTTTGCCACCCTAGTAACATGTTTAATGCCCCTTTTTGAATCAGTGTATCCTTCTCGTGCTTAAGAGCAGGTATTGTCATAAATGCACACATCCATTTGTATTGGTATTTCAGTAATCTGCTTATCTCTTTCTTACCTTTGATGAAAATAAGGTAGGGTTTAATTAGTATTAGTCTTTGGCAGATATTTCTAAATGGGAAGTGTAGGGGGATGTATGTTGCAGAATACAGGCAACCCCACTTAGTGCTCTTAATTGGTTCCAGCAAAACTGAGCATTAAGCAGAACCACACTAAGCGAAACCCATTTCCCCATAGAAATGAATGTAAGTAGAGATTAACTGGTTACTGTCTGCCCCACCGCCGCCTCTCCCCACTCCCCTGCCTGCCTGCTGGCGGTCCAGCCCCATGTACCAGCCAGGGCCTGTGCTCCTGCTGCCCTGCTCTGGGCCCCTGCTGATCCTGGCCCTGGGCACTGGCATGGGTCCCACGCTTATGCCTGGCCCCCTCCTCGCTGCTTCTCGCTGCTGCTGCCGCCTTTTCCCACCCTGCTCACCTGCCCGCCAGCCTCTCCGGCCCCACTTGCAGTTTGACACTTAAAAAGTATAACTTACAGTTCAAACTGGTTATATAGTCAGGCTTCAATCATAATTAGATCTGACTTAATGTTATAATTAGATCTGTTATTAATTCAGAAGATCTTGTGTAGTGCCTAAACATATGTGGCAATGTGCAAAATACAGACACCATATCTTTTAACAGGGATAGTTGTGTGCATGTAACAACCTTTGTTGGATATATGGATATTTTTGTTACTTTTCCCTCAACTGTGCAAAAGTATTTTACTCCCCCCAAATATTAAACACCTGAACACGTTAATTTTCTGAGTAGAAAATTTAAGCTTTTTATGGAATCATTTTCTGCATCATGTAGAAATCAATATTCCGTTTTTTAAATCCAAGAAATGGGAGTTGTGTTGGAAAGAATAGTTTGTTTTGCAGAACACTTGGTAAGCTTTAGAAACCTGTTGAGCCTTTGCTTAATTGTATTAATTGATTTCAGTGCTAGGAGAGCTAGCTTCTTTTTGAAAATTCTTGATTCCCTCTGCCCCAATATCCCACAAAATCTGGATGCCAGGTGAGTTCCAAGTTTGCAGTTAACTGCCAAAGGTTACGTTTCCTGGCGTGTTATACTAATGTAACGTTCATTACATGCTCTTGCTCTTATCTCATTTTTCCTTTGTAATTGGTTCCTCTCTAATCATTCCGTTCATCTTTTACTGATGTTTAATAGGTTACAAATGGTGTGGGTTTTTATCATGAATCGCATGAGCTCCCAGAGCAGTTCATCCACTCAACGTAGGAGAATGGCTCTCGGGATTGTCATACTTCTCCTTGTTGATGTGATATGGGTTGCCTCATCAGAGCTTACATCGGTAAGTGTTGCTTTAAATAAAAAAAACAAACACATTTATTTTAAGCATAAAAAAGAGGGGGCTCCTGCTGACACTGTAGTATGTTAACACGCAGTTTTCCACTATTAGCAACCTGGTGCTCAATCTTTTGGCTGTGGGGGCCAGATGAGTGACACAGGGTTGGTTTGCAGGCCAGATTGGGCCTCACACACCAGGATTGATCCCTTTGCTGTCTCCAGCTGGCCCTGCACTCTGGATCAGGCCCTGCGCAGCCTTGGCTGGCACCCAAGTGCTTGGATCAGGCTCTGTGGTCACGTGCTACTTCTGTTGGGCTCCACATATCTAAAGCAGGCTCTGGGGCGCCACACTGCCCCGTGTGCTGATTCATGTTATTCAGCCTGTGAGTCTCTCTATGGATCTTAAACTGTGTCAGTAGAGTGAGTGATGCCACTGCTCCCCTAACTGCCAAATTTTAGGACCCGTGGGGGAACCCCATAGGCTGGATGACACAGCGCCAAGGCCAGATATAGCCCATGGGCTGGGGCTTGAGCACCCTAACCTGGAAGTATTCTACTTCCCTTTTTCCTTTTCTTTCACCATAACAAAAGCTGCGTGAACTGAAATCTCCAAACAAGCATAATTTAAGGGTTATCATTTTAATTTCAAAGTCAAATATTTAATTAAAAAATTTTCAATATCGTGAATCAATAAGTATTTAACTTTCAGTTAGTTGAAGTCAGGAGCTGATTTTGTTGATGGACATATTGGTTAAAAACTGCCAAGTGTTTCCCCATGGACCTAGTAATCTACTTTATATCCTTAAAAATTGGGCTATAGATTGAACCTGTCAATCTGGCTCTACAAAATTTAGGGACATAAGTCTAGAAGAATCCTCAGTTATTGAATAAATTCTATGCTACTGCAGGCAATTGTACTACTATTTAATCCAGTTTATACATTTATTAAGCTTTCTTTTAAAATTAGTTAGTTCCCGCTAACCTTACTGGAGGTTATTCTAGGGACTTTTGAGTAGCCTGGTACCAAAACTCTGGCCATATTGTTCTTACAACGAAGAAACAACAGTGTTGATGTTGAAGGCGAAAACACTAAGTTTGTTACTTATGTTCTTCAACAATACCCAGGTGTTGGATTGAGACAAGTTGGGTTCAAATCAAGCATGTTCTTCTAAACTCCCTTGAAATGTTGTAACTTCTACCAACTTTGGACGTTTCCATATTAAAGCGCTAGCTGTAAATATGCTGCAGTTCACTTTAAGTACCCCATTTGTGTGTGTATGAACTATGTGTTAGGGTGGTTGGTTGTAGCCATGTTGGTCTAAGGACATGGGCAGACAAGGTTCTTTGGGTAACTGTGATATCTTTTATAAGATCAAATCAATAGTTCCACCCAGGAGAGAACACAAAGCAACAACATACTCTCCCTGTGCCTGAAGAAGGGTGTTTGTGCCCAAAAGTTTGCAAAGAAGAATTTTTCCACTTTTTTTTTTTAGTTGGTCTAATAAAAGATGTCACATTTACCTAAAGAACGTTGTCTGCCTGTGAACTATGTGGTACTTTCTGATACTGAACCTGTATTTTATGAGAAAGAAGGCTTGCTTTCTTGGGGTTTTTTTTTTAATATTACTATCTTTAGTGGCCTGTCCTTTTTATCTGCATCTCTAAGTGGTCCTTTATTGGAAAACCTTTTTGAATTCAGATCACATTTCAGTAATGGTCTGATTCTAAAATGCTTAAGTATATTGACTACTTAAAGTGAATTTAGCTTGCCTCTTGAGGCATTTTATCAATAGCTTCTCTCTAGTGATGTTATACTTACGATGCTTTGGTTAGTTCTAGAAAGGAACTGCTGGGCTAAAATGAACCATTTGTCAGTTTGACCACACATTCATATAGTCTTGCACCTCTTTTTTTCAAGTACACCTATAGAGTTGGTTTGAACCATGCTATTTTAAACGCGCTGATTAGTCATCTGACTTCTCACCTAATTACTAATTATGAATGCTATAATTATCTTCCTTTCACAGTATGTTTTTGCGACATACAACAAACCTTTTTTCAGTACCTTTGCAAAAACATCCATGTTTGTTCTATACCTCTTGGGATTTATTGTTTGGAAACCATGGAGGCAACAATGCACACGTGGATTTCGTGGAAGGCACACGGCTTTTGTAAGTCTTCAATAACTTCATAAATAACTTGTGATGTACAAACATGCAGAATAATTCAAAAATCAAATTGAGCAGAAAAGGATTTGAATAGCCTAAGCTGAACTCCAGAGGCAGTTAAGCAACATTTCCTTTAAAATAATATTACAACCAAAGTTGCAGAATACAGAGTGGTAATTGTAATAGTAAGTTAAATTAAAATGCAAAAGATTCACTATAGAGTCGAGATGCACCTGGAATTGGTACTTTCATATTGTGGTTTAGCATTTTGTTATATCCTATTTCTTTAGAAGAATTCTAATTGGCTTGATTGCAGACTTAATATGCCATTCATGCTGATCAGACTTGTTTTTTGAGATCATGCTCAGGAAAATGTGTAGAATGTTTCTCCTCCCCCCCACCCCTTATCCCCCATAAAGTATATGCATAGCAGTTTCTGTTAAATTGCTCTTATAGACAGGGATCATATTCCTCCTACCATAGGCATATTTTATATTTGCATTTGGTGATGGGCATTATCTTCAGGATCTAACTACTCTAAACTTCATGAAACTGAACTTAAACCGTATTGCAGAGGTATAAAAAAAAGACAAGCAGCGTGGTTCTGGTAACTAGGACAGTAGATCTGATACCAGTTCTAGGCAAGATAATAGAAATGTTGATCATTAAAAAAAATCAGCATTAAAGTGATCCTTTTAAAGAATGAAATCAGTTTTGTTTAGAGAAGCTGACAGTTGGACTGATAGGAGTAGACTTCTCTGCACAGCAGCAGTACAGCACACAGTAAATGGTCTAAGGAACTGGCTATCTGATAGATGTTATGCCCATTGTCAGTAGGAAATACTCATTGAAACTGGACTTCATAGTCCTTATGTGCATTTTTACACGCCCTCTGGAGTGGGAGAACGTTTTAATTGGAATGGCTCTTGGGAGCAACTTTAATTAAAACCTCCGCAGCAGTCCACATTTTCAAAATGGCAGCGGCAGCACTTTCAGTGAAGCTTGTTTGACGAGTGTTAAAGTGCCCCCACCGCCATGTTGAAATGCAAGGGCACTGAATGCTTGAGATGCTGCAGTACACTGGAGCTTTCTGATTGGACCGCTCCAGCAGACTCAATTAATCTGCTGGAGTTAATTGTGTCTGCTCTGACGTGTTCCACCTGGAATGTGTCGGAGCCCACATACAGGTGCCCTGTGGGATTGGGCCTAGTTCTGTGCTGAGAATTGTGCAGATGGCTTGAGGCCCATTGAGTTCTGTATGAGTGCAAGAGAATGCTGGCAGAGCTTTTAGTACTCCTGTTCACCATGTTGTGGCCCAGTTAAACTGCCTATTAAGCACCTTTTTATACTAAAATGTTTGCATTCATTAGTGTCATTTGACAGTGGCTTGGTAGAGTTTTAAATGTACCATTTCTAATTAGTTTGCAGATGCTGAAAGTTATTTTGCTGCTTGTGCAACAGACAACACTGTAAAGAGTTCTTTGGTAAGTTTCTTAATGTTAAGCTGCCCCTGTTTTTGTACAATAATGATACACGATGTCAATCATTTCCCTCCCAGTTCACACATTGGAATTAGATTTGAAAGTGTTCTGTAAATAGGATTAGTTTAACCTCTCTTTTAACCAAAATGATTAAAAAGCATTTAGCCAAAATGGCAGTAATATGTTAAATACAAGGCATAATGCTACTTACTTCGAGAGAGATGTGGGATCTCTTGCTCAGATAAACATTGAAATTGAATTTACACTGGACTAGGTAATATATCTCTGCATGTCCTAAAAGGGGGATGTTCCCAGATCCATTTTCATACTTGGCAAAGCAAAATGTAGATCTAACTATCTTTCAATCCAAGGCCACACAATATAACACAGTCCTTCAGTTACTAGAATATATTAGCATACTATGGTCCCTTCCTACAGCTTGAAAGGGACAGGGAATGCCTTTGCCTCTGGTGGAAAAAAAAATCCTGTTTAAAGGGATCAAATCCAGTAGGCATCCCAGTGAAAGCTAGTGCCTCTTTGTGACACTGATCTGATTGAGTCAGTACCTCACTGAATCACGCTTGGTCTGGATGCCCAAAATCAGGTTCACAAAGAATCTAGAAATTTCTGCAAAAGCTTCACCCCACATTAAGGGACTGAGAAGAAGTAACTGGTTGCTGAAAAGTTGAATGTCTCCTAGTGGAAGGTGTAGGTTGGGGGGTCCCATTTTTGCCCTTCATTTCTTTCCTGCCCATCCAACCATATCAAAAGAGTTCACAATCTCTGTTAGAAAATTGGGGTATTGTACTTAAATTATACATATGTACAGTAGGGGCCAGTTGACACTGGCAATGGAGCACACTGTTAATTTTCAAGCTGATAGATGTCACACACAGTGAGTGCACAGTAGTGCTTCCCAGGCAATGGTGGAGTTAACAGGATTCTTATAGTTCCTTTCCAGACTATTAAGTACATTATATATTAAATTAACAAAAATTAAATAGGAATGCTTAATAGTTCTGTATTAACACTTCTGTTTTTAAACAGCTTAATCTGTTGAGTGTGTCAATACATACTTTATGTGGTGCCTTGTCCATAGTTTATTGACATCAGGCTTTGGGACAGTGGCTTGCCAACATTTTTATTTTTAAGGATCTCCAGAACTTGCATGAAACTTTGTTTGGGCGAAGCTAATGTATTTGATAGGCTTCACATATATTTTTTTAAATGTTGAATTTTAAGAATAGTTTAAAATATATATTTTAATCTGTCCAGATGTGGCAAATGCATTAAAATGAAATTTCCTGATTAGTGAAAGAGTTGATGCTGCTGTCTAAACAACCTGCCTCCTCTGTTGCTGTTTCACCCACATTGTTTACATCAGTGTCTTCATTTAATTCTCTGATATACTAAATTAAAAAGAACAGTTACATTGTAAGCAATAATATTAACTGCATATGCTGCTTGTCCTGCTGCATTTCAGAGTGAACCTTTATATGTTCCTGTAAAGTTTCACGATTTGCCAAGTGAAAAAAGTGGCAGTACTAATAGCGATACTGAAAAAAGTGAGTAAAGACTTTGGAATTTTCAAATGCAAGCTCTTTGGTGCATGGACCGCCTTCCTTTATGTCTGTATACTGCAATCATAGTTGCAGGTCTAGCTGCATTTCATTTGCTTTCCTTATATCTCTGATTGTACCCACACAGGTTTCAGGCTTCCTTATGCCATTACCTCTCTTGGGATTGAATTTTTCAATTCTCCCAACCTTAAATTCAGCCCTGGCCTGCAGTGCTTTGTATATCAAACATGGTAACCCAGCAAGACCGACTGTGGTACCTGTGGTTTATTCTTTTGGCTGTCCGTGACCAAGCAACCTTTAGAAAAAAAAATGTCCATCTTACAGCAGTAGCAAAGCATTTGGAGAAAAGAGAATTTTAAATCCACACGTGCTCAGATTACCTGAGCTCTGCCCTCTTGCAATGATAGGGCTGGCATGCTTAGTAACTGTACACACCCTAGCAGGTCCTGGACTCTAACCCTTGATCAGGTTCCCAAGAAGAGTCACTTTTTTTATCCAGCCACAGTTCTTTGAATCAAGGCTTTCTTCTCAAAGCTCTCCAAGTAGGCTCTGCAGGTGTCTTGTGAAACCCCACAGCAGACACTTGAGGTTTTTTGTCTTAAGCACTTCCTCCCTTCCCGCATGATTAACATAGTCTCAAATTAAATTAAAAACAGATAGGACAAACATTCCAGTACCCTAGTCTTCAAACACTGTTTTATTAGAGTGCACTTCCCTATCTGTTATTATCTCTACTATATTTTAGTTACCATAACATAAACCAATAATGATGGATAGATGTGCATACTGTTATGCTAGCAATAAATGCTGTAGAAAATATTCAGGTTGAATTATAGTTGGTATTGTTAGAAAATAATGACATTTCAATAAGATCAGAAGGACTCCAGAAGTTAGAATGCTAAAGTTACCTGTGTGAATGCAACCATTAGATCCTTGGCTATAGTCTTCTTACAAACCTAGAAATATTTGCCAGACTCCAGCTGACATTCTTTGAGGGGGGGGTGTCTGTTAGGCATTTCTCCCCTCAACAATGTACTGTTACTATTCTGTTCTTGTAGTTTAATGCACGGGATTCATTTTAGAATGAAAGACTCCAAAAAGGTGACTGAACAGTGCAAGATAATCCCGTGTGCTTAAAGGATCGATGTTTTATTTTCTTTCAAATGTTTCATCTCTAGCTCTCCTTTTCTAAGTAGCAAAAACCTGGGTGAGCATGTGCCATTGAATGCCTGACAGAAACGTTCATTGATTTTTAGATGGGCTATGATTTTGCTGGAACTAAAATATAAATATCACCTTGTTTCTGAACCAACTCTGGCTGTTCATAAAAGTAGTGATTAAATTATGGAAGCCTTTAAAATCTGATTACAAGGGTACAGCAAAATTGTAAGAGCAAAAACATCACTGTAATTTTCTTATATATGAAAATTGTGTGCAAGCTGTGATTTCTTTAAAGCAAAAATCCAAGAACTTGTGCTACTCTGCATTTTTTAAATGTAGTGTATATGTAAGATGAAAGGGGGGGAAATAAGATGATAAAGTTAATTTAAGTTTCCAAGGAGTTAGCCTGAATGCATAGCAGTAATGATTTAAAACGATGATGGTGTCCTGGTCATTAGCAGGGTGGGTACCTAGTAACACGATAGAAATTCTATAAATAAAAATTTAAATAAATATTTTGGATGTTAGAAGTATTTGGTTGTCAATTGTGAAGTACTATAATCAATGGGATAAAAGGAAAATTACATTTTTTTTTTTCCTTGTTGTGCTTGGTGAAAAGTTTAATGAACATGTACCACTTTTTTTTTTTCCCTTTAAGCTCCCAAAAAGCCTCGTGTAAGGTTCAGTAATATTATGGAGATTCGACAACTCCCATCAAGCCATGCATTGGAAGCAAAGTTGTCTCGCATGTCCTATCCAACTGTAAAGGAGCAGGAATCAATATTAAAAACTGTAGGGAAACTCACTACAACTCAAGTAGCAAAAATCAGCTTTTTCTTTTGCTTTGTGGTATGTGCTTTTTCTTTCAAGAAATTAAGCAGTCACGCACACATAGTAATGGAAATGAGATGCCTCTTTTTATCAGTAGTTCATCTGTATTTTGCTTCATGAATATGCTAAATGCAATACAGCTTTCAATCTGGCATTTAAAATGCAATGCTAAAATGTAAAGTGGATTTTCAAGCTTGTGGTTAATTGGAACATAAGTTCTGCTGCTGGCAGGTCACACCCCTTATTACCCAACATGGGTGTGGTAAGTTATTCAAACAGCCTACCCTGGCAGAAGTCCAGGGTTATTTAAACAATAGTTGCTGTTCCTTCATGTTGTTGCAGAATGGGGTCAGGCCCTGCCTGTGTACCCACAGCTCTGTGGATGCAGCCATGGAGAAGCAACTCTCTTTCTATTTGGGGGATGAGGAAGAAGAACTTGTAACTAGCTGATGTCCTGCTTGCTTTTTG